TTTCCCTGTCCTGAAAGAGGCAGAGCCTGTGACAGTGATGCCATTTAGTGTGTGGCTGCCACTGTAAGGACAGATGGGAGAGCAGTTTGTGTTGCCAGGCTGATTTTTGCAGTGTTGTCCCTTCAGGTCCTGCCCTGAGGGACCATTTCTGCAGTATCCTCACTGTGCTCCCATTCCCCCCACAGACACAGGTGTGGATGTGCTTCGCCAGGTCATTGTCCCTAGGGAGCTGTGCCAGAAGTTCCTGGAGTTGGCTGATGCCAACACGGTGCGAGGTGTGGAGACGTGTGGGATCCTCTGTGGGAAGCTGGTAAGGTGACAATCCTGATGGACACCCTGGAAATGGCACAGAGGCCAATTGGCCTGGTGCCACAGCTTTGGAAATAGCTGCAGGAAGCTGATTTTCAGCCTGGAATTCTGTAGTGCAGGTTCAGGTTTCCATGTGAGCGTTAGGGATGATCTGCCTCTCCCTTTCCTTGTTTTTAGGTTAGGGTGAGATGCCAACCACTAAGGCCCTGCTCAGCTTCTTGTGAGCAGTGAGATTGGCTTTAAGGGGTGTCCAGGACTTCTCTGAGCTCTTGTGGGTGCAAAAATGAAATGGGGAAAAAAAATCCTGTGACTCCTTTGCCAGTAATGTGCAGCTGCACCTGCAAATGGATGGGAGATACATCCATGTGCTTGTTTCCAGCCCTGCTGTTCCCCTCTCAGGGATGAATGCAGAAGTACCACATTCCCAAAGCTTAGGAATTTCCCTTTGCACCAGTGGGCAGCAGGACTTTCCTGCCTGGGGGGTGTGACAGCCTCCTGTGCTGCCTTGCAGATGAGGAATGAGTTCACCATCACCCACGTCATCGTCCCCAAGCAGCACGGAGGTCCTGACTACTGCAACACGGAGAACGAGGAGGAGCTTTTCATGATCCAGGATCAGCACAGCCTCGTGACACTAGGCTGGATCCATGTGAGTGTCTGGTTCCCCTTTCACTTCCCAACTGGCCTTGCCTTCAGCCTGGAGGGAAAGGAGTGGTGGAGCAGGGCTGGGGGAGGAGAAGTTACTGGAGAAGATGGTGTGGAGTGGGCAGCAACCTCTGATTGGGTGTTTTGCCTCTGGTTGGATTTCTTTTCCTGGTTGGATTTCTCCTCCTGGTTAGATTTCTTGCCTCTGGTACAGTCTTGTTCACTACTCTGATGCAGAAATCCAGGCCTGTTTTATGTTTGGGTCCCTTTCTAAGGCAACAGGCCCTTTGAAAGGGAGGGAAGGAAGGTTTAGATGGGATATTAGAAAGAAATTCCTGGCTATGAGGTTGGTGAGACACTGGCACAAGTTGCCCAGAGAAACTCCATCCCTGGAAATGTTCCAGGCCAGGTTGGATGAGGCTTGGAGCAACCTGGGCTGGGGGATGATGTCCCTACCCATGGTGGAACTGGTTGAGCTTTAACCTTCCAACCCAAACCTTCCTGGGATTCTATGTAAGTGGAATCTTGGGCATGAAGCTCCTGTTTCCTCCAGCTGAAAACCAACTCCAGAGGCACAGCTGGAGCATCCCAAGCTCCTGCTGCCAGCACAGAGCCTCTCCCATGATGTGTCCCTGTAGCAGTGCTGCTGTTCAGGCAGCTGTGTGCTCTCTGCTGTGGGATGTGCCAGTTCCAGATTCCTCCCTGGCTGCAGCACTGCCCTGCTGCTGTCCCCACGGAGCCTTTGGCAGTCGGATCAGTGCCAAGCAAAACGTTTGGTGCTGCTGAGTAATCTCTCGAAAGCAGCAGCTGCTTCACAGGCTCTGACAGAGAAATGCTGCTGCGTGTGCCTGGTACGTGCAGGGTGGCTGCTCTGGGTTTAACTCTTCACTGCCAGCCCTGCCACCTTCAGGGCCCCCCCCAGCAACTGCTCTGACCCTTCTGCTGGTCTTGGCAACACAAACCTAACAGGAGGAAACTTCCAGCAGGAGTTAGGGGGTGAAATCTGGCTGTCAGCAGGAGCTGGGTGAGGTGGTGGCTGTAGAGTACAATCCTCAGTGGAATGTGATATCCTGAAGTGCCACAGGCAGGGTGGGATGTGCCCCAGGAGCTGCACTTCAGAAACGTGTGAAGTGCCCTGCAAGGACAGGGTTGTGCCTTACAGTAGGATTTTTTCATGGGATATGGCAGGAATGTAGTGCTCCTCCTGTGCTTATTCCAAATGGAAAAGAGGAGCAGGTGTTTTGGGACAATCAGGGAAAAAAAAAGGGGGTTCTGCAATAGAGCTGGAAAAGGACTTTGGACAAGGGCCTGGAGGGACAGGACACAGGGAATGGCTTCCCACCGCCAGAGGGAAGGGCTAGATGGGATATTGGGAAGGAATTCTTCCCTGTGAGGGTGCTGAGGCACTGGCACAGGTTGGACAGAGAAGTTGTGGCTGCTCCATCCCTGGAAGTGTTGTTGGCCAGGACTTGGAACAACCTGGTCAAGTGGCAGGGGGTGGGACGGGATGGGCTTAAGGTCCCTTCCAACCCAAACCTTTCAGGGATTCTACAAAACCCACTCTCACTGTGCAGAGCTGTGTCCCCTGTGCCATCCAAGGAGTCTTAGAACCTTCTCTTGGCAGACACGACCCTCTGGGAGCAGTTCTCCAAGCCTGCTGTAACTCCTGTCCCTGTGTTGCCTTTTCCAGACTCACCCCACACAGACAGCTTTCCTCTCCAGTGTCGACCTGCACACCCACTGCTCCTACCAGATGATGCTGCCAGAGTCCATCGCTATCGTGTGCTCCCCAAAATACCAGGAGTAAGTATGGACAGCAGGAGTAAGCATGGATGAGAGGTGGGGGAAGGTCTTTCCCTCTGCCTGGGCTGTTTACCACACCCTTCCTCTCTCAGATTTCTGCTGTGGGAATAAAATGTCAAGTCCCACAATGTGCACATGTGACTTAACAGCTCTTCTGAGCTGGTTCAGGGCTTGTGTCTGGGCAGTGGTTGCCCACCCGTGACAGGAGGCTGAGCTGCAACCCCAGGGCAGGGGAGAGGAGTCCCTCAGCTTGAATCTCTGCTCCTGCTCGAGATGAGCAGCCTCAAACATGCTCTTTGAGGCACAGGGGAGGTGGTTGTAGCTGCAGAGGCTTTTGCTGCACAAATCTTGTGTTCCTTTGCTCCAGGACGGGGTTTTTCAAGCTGACAGAGCATGGCCTGGAGGAAATCTCTTCCTGCAGGCAGAAAGGATTCCACCCACACCCCAAAGACCCTCCTCTCTTCACGGTGAGTCACCCCACGAGGCAGTGAGGGCTGTGGGGTGGTGAGTTGGTGTGTGGGACACTGCTCTAGAGCTTAGATCCATGTCAGGGTGCTGAGCTGTGACCCAGAACAGGAGGCTCAACCTGGCAAGGACTGCACTCTGACTCCTAGACTGGAGGTGCAGAAGCTTTCCAAGGTTTCAGCACGTGCTGGAGGTGTGCTGCAGAGCACCTTGCTGCAGAAAAAGGGCAAAGCAGCAGCCAAGAGAGATGTATTTTCATGTCCTGTTGTGCTCTCTGTGGGGCACCAACAGGCCCACAGCTGATGTCCAGGAGCTGGTCTGAGTGGGCTGTTCTGGGAAGGACACTGCCTGCAGGTGTCAGGAGGTAGAGGAGACTCACCTGAGCTGTAGGAACATCTGTCTCACCCCCTGTCCCCTCTTTTCTCTCTTCCAGACCTGCAATCACGTGTCAGTAGTGGAGAGAGACGTCGTCGTGATGGATCTCCGATAAGCCTCTTGCCTTACCCCTTCACAGACACCACCCACCTTCCTTTAGGCCTAGGGAATTGGGATTTTTCCTCTTGTAGCAGATGATTTCTACCATGTAGTGATCCCTCCCTGTCCTCCCCCAGTAACCACGGTGGGATTGGGGTCCTGACCTCGATGGGAGCACGTGGAGCCTCAGGGCCTGGTGTTGGGCTGGCCAAGTGGTGCTGAGGGAGAAACTGACTGGGAATTCAGAGACAGAAGCCAACACTAAGGCAGTTAATAACTCTAATCCATGGCTTGAACAGCCTCTTGGGGGGTTCCCTGTGATTTGCTGCAACCATGAGGTGTGGAAACCTCTTCAAGTGCTTTCGGGACTTGCGCAGATTAACTCGTGTCCTGTTTTGCCTCTCTCCATGTTTCTGTGGTCTCAGTGCAGCTCTCAGGAGTAGAAAAGTCTCTGTTGTAGTGTAAGATCAAACCTTGCTGATCCCCTCACCCCACGCACGAGCTTATGGCTGCTGAGCTGAGCCACTCCTGCTTGGCTGGTACTTGGGTCTTTGGGCAGGTAAGAAGGACCCAACTCCTTTGGGATCCTTAGTTCACAGGGATGAAGGTGCCCAGCTGTGGCACTGCTTGGCACATCCCAGCAGTGGTGAGGGGTGTCTGGTGACTTCACTCCCTTTCCCGGCCTCGGGATCTGCTTGGCCTGTGGGTCACTGGTGTTATCGTGGAGGAACACTCGGTCTCTTGGCTGCCATCACCACTCTGGGACAGGATTCCAACAGCTTTGGCCACTTCCATCCTCAAAGATCCTCCTGCCTGCTTGGCTCTGAGCTTCCCAGAGCAGCATGAAGCCTGTCCTTGCCAAAACCGAGCGCTCCATGACGTCGCTGTTCTGCGGCACAGAGATGGGAACCTCCTCCAGGGCTGCTTTAGTCGGGTGCCAAGCAGAGATTTTCCTTCCCCACGCTCCGTGCGGAGCCTCCGCCCTCGCTGCTGCTGGTGGAGGGAGGGAGGCAGCAATATTCCAAGGTGGAAGGCAGCTGGGCTCAGGGCTGAGCGTGACCCACATCCCCACATCCTGCAGCAGGATGCTGTGATGGTCGGCACATGGCTGTGCGGGGAGGGGAAGAGGCTGGAGCTGCCTTCCCACCTGGCATGCAAACATCCGTGTTCTCGTGTCGTGTCCTTGTTCTTGTGCATCCAACATCCCTTGGTGTTCCGTTTAACACACATGGATCGGATTATCTGGGCTGGGTCTCTTGTGCCACTTGTGTTCTTTGAGCTCGGTGGGTTGGGAGGGTCTGGCGTGGTGGGAACCTGTTTGTTTGGGGCTTGGTGTGTTTGCAGCAGCCCCTTCCTTGGCTGCTGCCTGCCAGACTGCTGCTCCAGCTTGTCTGAAGTCTCTTTTGGAAACAGCTTCCCCACCAGGGGTGGGAGAGAAGAGGGAGGACTTCAGGGCAGCTGTGGGAACTAATTTTCAGACCTGATTTGTTTGAACCATGCTGGGAGAGGGAGTTGCAGCCTTGGTGTAGGAGTGTTCCCCAGCATGGAACAGCTCTTCACCCTAAGGGCTCCCTCAGAGCAGTGTGGGGACACAAGGTGGGAAAACCTTCAGTTTGGTGGGGAATATCACAAGGAATTTATCTCAGCTCCTCGTCCCTGAAGGGCTCAGGTCTGAGCTGGTTGAGCACCCAGTGGAGAGGAGTTGGTGGCATATCACCACTTTTTGTCATCCCAGTGACCGATCAACTCCTGCAGGGAATTTTCTGTGTTCCTCACACTGTGGCCACAGGAAGGACCACGTTCCTGATGTCAGGGCCCAGCTGCCACCTTGCTCCAGATTCTGCTGCCCAGGTCCTGCTCCCTGAGCTCTGTCTTTTCCATCCCATTTTCTCACTTCAGCTCCCTGAGTCACCACTCTGTGTGCCAGGATGAGTACCAGTATCCTGGTGCTGTCCCACCAGTGTTCCACTCACCCACCCTGGCTCTCCAGCTGTGCCAGCTGTGACTGTTACAAACTAAAATCCCTCAGAATGAGGTTGGATTTGAGAAGAGCTGAACCCGACTAGAAACAGCTTTGCAGGGATGATTTACTGTCTGCAGCAATGGGGTGGTTTGCTCTGGGGGCTCCTGCAGGCAGCGAGTGATGCTTCTCTCTGCCCCAGGCATGGGAACAGACACAAATCCCTCTCACCATCCCTCTTTTCGCTGGTTTATCCATCCTCAGCAGCATCCTGAGAGATTTCAGGCGTGCACATTCCCCTCGAGGGAGGTGCCGGGGGCTGTGCCCTGGGAGTTTTGAAATCCAGCGGCAAACCAGGGATTGTCCCCTCCTCATCCCACGTTCATCCCAGCCTCGCCTGTGCCGTGGGATGCTTGGCGTTCCTGCGAGCATCCCGGGGCCGCCGGCGGCTGGATTG